CAATATCAGAAATACGATATCCATCAAAATGTAATATGATATCACAACAATATCAGAAAATACGATATCCATCAAAATGTAATATCGTACTTAATTATTACTGGTCATTTCTTACGTTCTATCAGTTAGTGATTAGAAAAAATATTGGAAATTATAGTTTGATCATTTTGTACAAAAGATGTCTGTTGAGAGTAACTGAAAAATACTAAAAGTCTAAAGTTTTTTTAAACTCTTAAGACGTCATTTTCACGTATTGCACGTCAAAATACGGTAGAAGTTGAAAAGATTTGATAAAATTGCAACTGTTTGTTTTTTTTTCATCATAAAATACTGTACCTGTACAGTTCTTTTCGTTAATGCATTGCTTTTTGATAGCTCCATCGCCTGTTGAAATATTAATAGCAATTCCTTTCCTGATACCATTAATATCTATTTCATATATGCCACCATTATCACTACTGATATCATCAATCAACAAGTAATACTTCATTGAGGTATTGTAATACCGTATAATCTGATTGTTTCGATGATTCTCATATTCTAATGGTTTACCATTATGAAGCCATCGTACCTGAAATATTAATAGCAATAAAAGAATTACTTCTGGAATAACATTTCCAAAATTGAAATCATAATTTTTAAAAAAAAACAAAACAATAATTTAATTTTTTGTACCATGTAGATTTTAATCAAATTGAATTTTTTCCAATTAATTATTACAAATCAAATATTACAGATGAATCATTTTGAATAAATGTCAAAATTGACCATTTAAAATACAAAGCATTTTTCCGGAAAACTTGCTTACGCAATATATTCATCCGGAAAACGGCAAAACATCGTCGAAAAAATAAACCGAATATTTGTTTGCTATAAATAATGCAAATCACTGGAAATAATTTCATAAAATACCTGATGAGGTGATGAAGCATCATTTATTTTTGCCGATAATCGAATTGAATCTCCCGGTAGAAGGATTGTATGCGGTGTGATTAATATGATTGTTTCAATTTTTGATTCACAATGAACTGAAATTGATTGAAAAAAAAAAATTCTAATTTTGCTTATTTAATTTTAAAATTATTTACATCGTTTTTTTTTATTAAATTAATTTATTTGTTATTAAATTTTTTTTTTTGAATAATTTAATAATTAAAGCTAAATTTATTGCTAATAATACATATATATATTAAGCTAAGAAGCAATTTAAAGATTTAATTTAGCGCAATATTCCGTTTAAAATTAACAATAGTTAGCATTAACATATATTATTATTTGTTTGATAAATAAAATAAACAAAATAATTAGTATAAGACATATTTATTTGCTAAACAAACAAATTCATCCATATTTGAGCATTAATTTTCTTTTTATTTCATTAATTCATTTTGTTTTATTTGACGACTAAAATTTTGCTTTTTTAAAAAATAAACAAATTAAAATTAATTTTATTACTTTAATTAATTTTTTTTTGTTTTAAATTCATTCACTGCTATTTGTTGAATTGTTTTTTTTATTTACTTATTTATTAGTTATTATTATTTTATTAAAATAATAATAATTCACCTTCATCACTACCATCTGAACAATGCTTATCACCATCACAACGTTGATTGTTATCAATGCAAGCTCCATCATCACATTTGAATTGCATACTTGAACAATCCGATATAATTGGTAATTCTAAATAATCATATGTCTTTTGATTGATTCAATTAACATAAAGTGATAAGAGGGTAGTAAATGTGGAATTTGGTTTGAAAATTGATGATGTTTATTTGTTTATATTAACTGATAAAAATTCTTTCACTGATAATTTTAAGCTTTCTCATCCATTTCAAATAATTTACTTCCTTGAACAAATGCAAATGCAAATTGCATTATTGTTTTTTTTTTTTGAAATGAAATTTTTTGCTAATTAAAAAAAAAATGAGATTTTTTCTTGCCAATTCGTATATTTTATTAAATTAAAATTGAGAAATAATCATTTTGAATAACTAATTCAAATTATTTTATTCTTTCAGATAATTAATCCAATAATTATTATTTCGAATTAATGATTAAAATGCTTGTGATTAAAGTAGAAAATTCAAATTTAGATATTAAACTCTCTTGTGAAATCACAAATGCAATGACTATTTATGATAATTCAGCATATAAATGAGAGATTTGAAATTGATTAGAATTAAACAAACATAAATGTGTGGAAAAAAAATTTGAAAAAACTTAAACTTAAAAAAAAGTTAAACTTGTTTCTGTGATTGTAAACTTTTAAATGACACTTGAAAAAATACTGCACAATTAAACATTTCAAGGTTACAAATTGTTTGAAGAAATGACTAATAAAAAAATCATCGATATTTTTCAATTTTTTTCTAATGAACTATTTCATAAAGTAAACAAAAAAGAAAAAAAGAAGGAATCAAATTATTTCTCATTTAAGAATAACGAACCTTTCAAAAAATTTTTAACAACATTTTTTAATTCCAATTTTTTTATTTGATTGTAATTTGAAAGTTTTAAATTACATCATTAAAATTTTCTTTTTCATTCTTACTTCAAAATAATAATTTGGCCTGAAGTTGTTGTAATAAATTATTTTATAGCTCTAAATTGTAAATTTATTTTGCTAAATTTTTTTTTTCGATAAAATAAATTTTATACCAAAAAGATGTCTGGAAAAAGGGTAAAAAGTACTTGAATTGAACCGAATATAAATGAGTAATTGAGTAAATAAATGTAATTAAACATATATTGCATGCAAAATTCAAATAAAACAAGAAATAATAGTGATTTTTATTTCATTTAATTACATATAACAATATTTTGGATTAGAAAATTTTTGATTTTTTTCGCCGTTTAATATTTGAAGGATCGAATTAAAGTAGCTAAAATAATTGATTTTTTATTTTATTTTATTTCATTTCATTTTTAAGAGTATTATGTTGATAATTATGTTTTATGCCTATATAAATATTATATTGATAACTAAGTATTATATCGATAGCCATGTATTACATTGATAATCATGTTCTATGTTGACAATAGATCTACATTCACAATTAAGTGTTATATTGATAATTAAGTATTATATTGATAAATAAGTATTATATTGGTAATTATGTTTTATGTTGCTAATAGTACTATATCCACAATTAAGTGTTATATTGATAATTAAATATTATACTGATAATTGTGTTCTATGTTGATAATAGTACTATATTCACAATTAAGTGTTATATTGATAATTAAATATTATATTGATAATTGTGTTCTATGTTGATAATAGTACTATATTCACAATTAAGTGTTATATTGACAATTATTATATTGATAATCAAGTACTATATTGGTAATCGTGTTCTGTGTTGCTAATAGTACTATATTCACAATTAAGTACTATATTGATAATTAAGTTTATATTGGTAATTAAGTATTATATTGATAATCATGTTTTATATTGATAATAGTGTTATGGTGATAATTAAAATTACGTCCTTATTTCACCAGTACTAATTAAATCCAACAAAATTTAAATTCCT